GGGCGAAGCCGCAGGCCGCGGTGCTGCAGGGCTGCCCCGGTGCACGGCTGCTCCTGCAAAGTGCTTCGCGTGGTAATAATAGTGGGAGGTCAGTGACCGGGAAGTCTTTATCCCGGAGTGCTCCGCAGCTCCGGCGATCCAGGCAGCCCTCGCTTTGAAATGCAAGTTTTAAAGCAACATCAGGCTGATGGAAAATGAACTCTCTGGCCTTTGCAGCAGTTCTGGTGCTCGCTGGTAGGAGCACGTTGGAACAGATGGGTTCCCTCAGCCACAGCGCTCCATTATAATAATCCTAATTGTGCTTCTTAGTTCATTTTTCATTAGGGTCGTTTTTACCTATAGGGATATTTCTTAAAAAGAAACACACAAGAGCAAACTCTCTCCGGTATTTAAGGACAAAGAGCACTTTTGATGAGCAATTTGCTTTGTCCTCATGCATGACCAAAAAATTCATCAGAGAACAGTTCTCAGCTCTCGCTGCACCAGATTTTGCTCAATATTTCAGAAAGCACCAGAGAGGACCCCGTGTTTTATTCCCTCATTCTGCATCTCCTCTTGCTGTGCATGCTCCAAGGATTCCAGGCTTGGCTGCTGACTCTGCTCACAGCGCATCTTGCCATGATGCCACAACCGCTTGTTGCCACAGCCGAAGAGGGACTTTGCTTTTGGAACAACCGAAGTCCCTCTGACCAGGCAGAACAGATGGCGGCACTGTCCTGAGCACGGGCAGCACAGGGCATTTCCAAGCATTTCGAGGCATTTCAAGAACAACCCTTTCCACAGTAACCTTCTCTTCAAGCTATTCACCAAAGCAAGGAGATCACAGAGACTCCATCAGAGATTCAAAGGAACACAGTTGGAAAAACGTTGACATACAAGGGAAAAAAGAAAAGACCACAGTGCAAAGAGCGAGGGACGTGCACATTGCACAGGCTGGTAGTGGCCCAACATTATGCTATTAAAAATTATCCAAGTGAGACTAACACTCTCAGTATACAGAGTAGTGGCTCTAAGTGAGGAAATTAGGACTATTAATCATTCCAAGGCGTTAACAATTCCAGCAGGCCAGGATGGCCCTGTTCCCAGTGGGGCTTAATAAAATACTCAGGGTTTATAATAATAAAATAATATCTCAAATGTCCATAGCACCTTGCAACCCAAAGCGCTTTGCAATTTGCTATAAATTCTCTACCCACAGCCATGGGGAACAGAGGAAGGGAAGTGCAGTATCCTTGGAAGTATGCAAGGAACTCGAGGAGGTAAAGTGTTGTCAGGCTCCTCGGAATTTGCTCTCTTTATCAAAGAGGCAGAAATGATGGATTTGATCCTATCTAAAGGATGTGTCTCCAAGAGTTGCCATGGGCTCTCCAGTCTACCACCAAGAAGATTTCCTGGGGAGGAAAGGGAAAAGCAGCCAGTGCAGCTTGGCCCCCAGGTCGATCCTTTGGGATAATCAGATGAGCCGCGAGAGCAATGGAGGAGCGAGTTCCCCGGGGATCGGGACTCCTGCAGTGTCTCCTGCCCCAGAACAGCCAGGCCAAGCTCTTGTCTCAGCTCTGCTCCTGCAGGATGAGGAGTAAAGCTGCTCTGGGCACAAGTCCTCAGCCTAGGGCCAGGATGGGCAAGAAGCTCCTGCGAGGAGACGGGGACGTGCGGGGAGCGTCCCCAGGGCAGCCGGCGTCGGTACACGGGTCCCCAGCATCGGGGCTACTCGCGGCACCGCGACGGGGCTGTCCTCGCGTCACGGCGCTGCCGGAACGGATCCCCACAGAGCACCCTGGGAGCTCCCAGGGCCGCGCGGGGCCGAGGGCAGGTCCCGGAGCGGCCCAGCTGCGCGCGGGCTCCGCGTTTCGCATTTCTTCCAAATGATGCTGACGTTATTTGCCCGAGTAATAATAGGCAGGAGAGCTAGATGTGACAGGCGTCCGCAGCCATCACAGGGATCAAGTTCAGGGGCCGCGTGCCACGTGGCAGAGCTAAACCTCGGCCGCCCGCCTTGCTCCGAGGGCAGGATCTGGCCGCGCTCAGCCCGGCAGTGCCGGGTGCCCCCGG